ATATTCGTGATTTCACCTCTCTGTTGTGCATGATTTTGAGACGTGAGTCCTCCAGAAGATTTATTAAGACTGAAAACATCAAATATGACCTCTGTATAATTATCGTAACATCTCATAAGACATAGCGCATCGGCAACTACCAAGTATATATCGAGAGTGATTTAGGTATGCGATTTGCAATATGGGGCCTTCACTGACTTAGAGTCTTAGCCTTTCACGATCGATTTTGCTTTCTTCAAACACTCTTTCTAGCGTAAGAGCAGGTTGTTAAAAAGAGTACCTAACTTGCTTGTTTTCGTGATTAGGGGAAATGAAATTTTGATATCCGTGATCCGTGATTTGCTATTTGTTTTGTTCGTGAGCCGTGCCAGAGACGCCCCCACCCTCTCCCCCTCTTTCCGCTGCACGACCCTCTATAATTATCAGTTCATTCTGACAGATCTCAATTAACTTTTGCTTCTTCTTTGCTTTTACGGTATTCTTTCCAACAGTGTTCACCATATTAACCACACAATGTCGAGTATAAATCCGATGAATTTCCGAAGAACTTTCGATTGATTCGGTTCCTTTCGTGCCCTGTTTATCGCCATCCGACAATAATTGTTAGCCGCGTCCTGCCTAAGCAGAGAACTACACAGTAAAACTGACAAGGGAAATGTGGCTTCCTAAGAAATAAAAAATAACGACACTGACTCATCTGTACGGCAGTAAAAGAGACACGAAAAAGGTGAAATCAAGGGGGAAAGTTGGAGCCATTCACGGGGCTTAAATTTCCATAAATTTCAAAGGACAAAATAACCTGACTTTGTTTTTGTTGTTGATCGTTTATCATGTTCCCACAGAATGGTGTCCATGGCGGAAAATCGAGCGTTTCTTCCACCTTTTTAACCGAAGAATGTCGAGTATGCTACCGAGGTCATCCGGTAATTTTACGAAGAACAATCGAGTGATTCGGTCTCTTTCGTGCATTGTTTATCGCCATCCGACAACCTGACGACTGTTACAAACAGCCAGCCATTATTCTTTAAGCATTTAACAGCACAGTAAACTGACAAGTGGAATGTGACTTCCTAACGATGCTTTAGAGGTTCACGACCGGAGAGACTCCCATGTAAAAGAATAGAAAAGTGTGTATCTGTGTTTTTGACTGCCTACATGGTAATGTATGTACGCCTTTCACGAGGAAAAATCACATCTTAACACCAGGAACAAACTTTCCTCCGTTGAACCACCCAAAGTGAAACTGGAGTTTGGCCGTGAAAGTTTTTCTTTTTAGGTGTTTCAATTTAAGATAGGCTACTATTAGAGGTCAGAAATAAGAATTCTAGAGACCTATTTCGAAAAAAAAAANCCATTAGAGGTTAGAAATATTAATTCTAGAGTTTTATTTCGACAAATTAAAAGGTCAACGAACTTTTTTGTTTGTAGTTTTTATAGGTAATTTTTAAATGTGATTTTTATATGTACTTTTCACTGATGTATGCTTAGGTTTTTAGATTTTTGTTTACTTTTTAAGTTTTACAGGACCCCTTTGAAAACACTTCAAGAGACGGGGGTGCTCGTCCGAGGCACCAATTCTAAAAGAAAACATTAACTTACACCGTGACTTTTTCTCAACAAAACAAAACAAAAACAAAAAAACAAAAAATAACAACAACAACAAAAAAACATGAACAAAATCTATTGATTACATGTAAAGATTTTTGAAAGCATTGTCATAAATCTGGATCCTGTTTAAGTGGCTAAGTTCAAATCAAAATTGAAAAAAATAAAGGAAGATAAATAAGTCACATTCTGACAGTGCGGCTCCTATGTACACTACTGTTGATAACTGAAGCAGTGATCAATACCGTAATGATTCGATTTAATTAGCGCCCGGGGCGCTTATTGGGAAGGGGCGCTTATTTCTTTTTTGAGAAACAACCGAATGTTCAAAACAAAACTTTAATTCGGTATTTATTAAAATAAAGGAACGATAACAGAAACTGTAACAAATACACGGTAAATGTACAGTCAACGTTTGAGGGAATTATGCAGTCTCATAGAAATAATAGTTGAGAAACTCAGACGAAGATCACTGTTTTCGTAATGCGGCATTACGTATCTGAGCAGTTAAGGAAGATAAAGCTCGGTTGATACGTACTCTGACGGCGC